TTATGTGTTTAATAATAAATCAATTCGACCGACTTGGCGACACGAAACTTAAGATGATTATCGACGTCAGACATAACGTACAACGCCGAAACAGTCCAATTGTGGTAAATACTATGAAAATCGATCACTCTGCGCGTCTTGCGTTAATTAGATTATTTAAGAAAATCATATACTTAACACGGCTAAGGTTAAAATTAGAAAGAAACCCTAAAAATCACCGGAACGGTCAAAACAGCAGTTTTTGGGACCGAACTTGGTAGTTTTGTTTACTTTTGAAAAGAGGCGCCAATATTAAGTTTTTCTTTGGGTATCGCCGAGACGGTCGTGTTACAATGCCACTGGAGTGTATAAATACAATACTGTCACGGTGTCGAGTGCGGTTATTAATATTTAATGCAGTACCGCTTGCCGAGTAGCGACGGGTCCTATTCACAAGTTTTACCTTTTCACGATTGACGGGGCTAATTTTTTAAAAACCCATTTTTCCATGTGTTACACTTGATTTACACTGTCGCGACTTAACAGTTAATAAAGCAAATAAATAAGTTATTTGATTTTATATCCACCTCGCGTAACCGCCACTACGAGTAATTGTAAAAAAATGCATTATGTCCGCGATTATGTTTGCATTTTTTTTTTTTTTAAATCCACCCAAGAACTGATAGAAATAAAGTCTAAACGATTTAGCAGTCTTATGCGTTTTAATAATTATTTTGCTCTCGTTTATTTGTTTTGTGTAAACGTGTACACGCTGATGATTTTTTTTGCAATGAGAAAAACGAATTTGTAGTTAAAGACACTCAAATCGCAACGAAAACGCTTCATTCACATACTGATTTTAATTAATTTTTTTCTATTCGATATTTCTTTGAGAAATATCGAATCCCCATAATTAATGGTCGTCGTGATAATAGAGTTTTCAATGCAGAAACTAATCACGCCGGGCCTTTGAGTGCGCGTACCGCGAAATCAATCCGAAACGACCGATTGGAAAGTACACAACTGGAACGGATGAACAAACCATCAGAAAGGGTTAATCCGGACGGTCTCGGTCTTTCATTATACGAAATGCTTAAAAAAAAAAAAAGTGCATGTATATATATATCAATCGAACGGGAATTTTAACAGTTATTTTTGAGCGTAATCCAAAGGGTTGAAGGAGCGGGAGGAGAGTAGCATAATCCATTAGAATATATTATAATACCAGGGCGGCGCTGTTATTCTCCGGAATCGTCAGCCTTCAAAGTCTCGCCATTGGATTTCTAGGAGAAACACAAATTAGAAAATATTTTTTTAAAGCGCTCTTGCCGAGTCGTTAAATGTCGGCCAGGCGCCAAAAGAAAATGGTCCTGAATATATGTTTAATCGATAACGGCCGTTGGACGTCACGAGTAATGGAACAGCGGAGGTGACATTAGAAAATGATTAATAGACAGCGAGAAGCGTATCGCGTTGCAAATGGTCCTGTTCGCAGTATGTCGTGTACCGCGTATCGGTGAAATCGCTGCACGGACTCGGACCTTAAGCAGTTCAGCATGTATCGGTCAGGGTAGTTTTTTGGCGGCTTGTGCGTGTGTGTAACAAGAGACGATCGACCGGAAGTCGTCCAGCGACACGTAGACGAACGCGACAGTCCTCGCACACCAATTATTTTCTCCGACTCGCCAGCCGCATGCCGAACGATCCGATTCGTTGTTGTCGCTTTTCCTTTTTTTGTATATAAAATTTAATTAATATAACTCGGCGGCGCAGCAATGAAGAGCCCCGTTGTAAGTGCCACCTGTGCAAACATCCGTTGGGAGTCAGCTGTCCGTGCGCGACGGCAGCATCGGCGGATTCTTCGCGCGGGTAGACCGTGAGAACCGTTGGGCGTACACGTATGAGAGAAGAGAGCATGGGCCGTTTGATACTGTCAAAGGGGTTGCTGGCGCTGGATCCGACACAACGGCCACCTCTTGTGTGCTACACGTGTAACAGTCTCGTATATTAATACCTATGCGCACCCGATCTTCTCGCGGTGCGGGACAACAACAGCAACAGGCGCACAATGATCGGCAGAGAAGATCCGGCGCGCGAATAACCGGATAATAATAGGAGTAACGAACGCCGGTGGTAGACGGTTGAGAGTTGGAGAGAGAGAGACGGAGACGATTATGGAAAGGGGAAAGACAAAATACGGCGCAGCTGCCCGCCACTGTGTGCGAGAGAGGGTTGTGCCGTATGATAAAGTGGATTTTCGGACGAAAAATGGCAAAACGCATACAAATAAAATCTATACCGCCAAGGGTAGTATCTGCAACGTCGTTTATAATTGGCTGCAACGGCCGCTAAATTTTTTTATAAAAAAAAAAAACGTTACTCCGAAATTTCTTTTGTGCACAGCCTTTATCGGTTGTGTTCGACTCACTGAGCGTTTCGCCGTGTTTTCACAAATGTTCGAAAAAAAAAACCCTCTAACACCACGTTGCGTCCGAGACGTTTTTATTGTAATTAACGAGGGCGACCCTACTCGACGTCGGAATTAACTGCGCCAAAAGCTTTAAAACCGCTATACCCTTGGTGCCTTTGGCCGAGTCATTGAAACGTTTAGCCTGCAAACGCAGTTTTATAAGTACTAAATAAAAAAAAAAAACAAATCGACCGATCGAATACGTGAAACTACAATAATTATACTGTTATCACTAGTCAGTCAGGTGCATAACGACGACAGAGCTTTTTCCGTGCATACCTTTGGGCGCTTATCACGTCCAGGATCAGTCGCGTTAAACGCACTAACGGCGTGCCGATACGGTCCTAATTTTGCGGGTACATGTTATTACACAAAAGCGGTCCTTTTATACTTTGAGCTCGACCGGCCGTCGTGGTATTTTTGACGGCGACGATAAATCACCGGAAATCGAATAAAACTTTCCGTTTCCGTCTGCATCGAACCGTCCAAATTAATATATCCGTCAAAATACAACCCCCCCAGCGCCCAGTTCGAGTGCGGCGCCTATTAACGTTACCTGTTTGTGTTTACCGTTTTGACGTTGATGAGAACCGGAGATAGTGCACGTCATAATGTTAGTTTTATGTGGCGTACTTTCTCTCGGGTACACATTTTTAACACATTACGTGTACTTTTTTTCGCACTTGAAATGGTGTACCAGGGGAGGTTTGCTTTTGTTTTACCCATTTATGTGTGTGTTTCATTCGGTGTAATTCGTCGTTTGCCACGAAAAACGTACAGAGTCCATTAGATATGATTTTGAATATTTAAAAATTTTTCATAAAACGTACCTGTGTTTACAAACACATTAAAACACTTTTGAAACGCGCACGGCGTTGAAATAGTAATTCTAATTACTTAATAATTTTGTCGAGGGTAGACACAAATCGTATCTAAGTTAAATTGTTCACAGTAAACGTTGTTTGGCCTTTAAGTGTTGTGTACAACTTTTTATACCCCATCATAAATGTATTACTAGGCACGGCATAGGTGTTGTTATGAATACCTGTAGTGTCTATTTCTAAATCATTGACAATTAAAAAATAATTACCATTTTTTATAAAAAGTTCGCTATGCTTTCAAACCAACATGTTACGTGGCGGCAACTTATTTATATTGTAATAATATTTCTACGGAGTAATTTGACGTTAAACCATTTTTACAACCGATCAAAAAAACTGGACGTGATTTGGTCGGGAGGGCCGCGCGTCGTCATCAATCGGTTTGAAATAAGTGTACCGTAATACCTTTAAAAAAATAAGGTTAAAGGCTCGACCAACTGAAAAGGTGAGACTGGAAGAAGCTCGGGGTTGTCTCTATAAGAATCACTTCCCGCATCCCTTTGGCGGTGAGACTACGACGTATTAAAAGGGTCTTTGCGAGGTTCAAAATCCACGACCCCATCAACCGTCCAACAGATACCCACTCGCACAGCAAACACTAATAATACATTAAACGTTGTCGTAACCGCCGCCGTACTTAGCCAAAGTTTTGATTTTTTTTTTTGCAACGGCATATAATTTAACAATAATCGCACAAACCTAAATGGAATAATAGTCGTATCAATTATAAGATGAACTAACTCTAATAAAACAAAAACGCAATTATATTATATACCACAAAATGTATTCTAATCAATCTTTATTATTTTGTTTTTTCTCTTCAGTTATGTACACAAATTTATTGCTCGTTTAAACATTAATAATAATTATAATAATAATAATAATAATAATAATAATAATTTCGCTAATCAAATTAATACATCAATACGTATACATACACATGTTAACACACATATGCATTTATAATCGCAATTGTCATTAATTCATTATTTTACTTATATAAATTGGTTTTTTTTTTTATGCCTTTTTCATATTTTATAATACCAAGTAGTATTTCGGTAGTCTTCCGCGATTGCTACGAGGTACATATTTGTACTATCGATATTTTGTTTCATTATATTAATCAAAACAAATTAGTTTCGTAAAAAAAAAAAAAATAATAATAATAATAATAATAGAAAACACTTGTCAAAATTTGTAATAATAATAATAATAAAAAAATAACACATAATAATATTATATCAAAATAATATATGGACAAAAATAATAATACAAAGATCAAGAATAACATAACTTGTATGTAAATCTTAAAAAAAAAACTTAAAAATTCGCACCAAAATAAAAAGGACGAGGGCGATAAAAAAATAAAACATAATTAATAATAATTACATGATGAATTCACCCGTCGGTTTAAAAAAATATTACAGCTAACAAACAAATTGGATCTATTTTAATAAAAATATTAGTATATATGAATGTATATATGTATCATAGTCGGTTTCATAAAAATCATAGGTAGGTTATACATATGGTAATAATTAAATAATACATTGACAATAATAATAATAATCATAATAAAAATAGGTAAATACTAACGTTTAAATTAGTAGGCAGGTACGAAACAAACGAGTGTAATAATTAATTAATTTTTTTTACATAATATATATATATTTATATATTCTAGTAAAGGTAATTGTAATTAATTCTATAGCGTCGTTGTGTGATATGTAACACAGGGATATGTTTTTAACTAATGCAAATAATTGTTACTGGTACCAAAAAGTCGAAAAAAATATGTCAACAAATATAATTACACGTATTACTGTATATGTGGGTTTAAAGGAAGGATATTGAGCCATCAACAAACGACGCAACAATACAGGAACACTTCCAAAAACAAAAAAAAAAACAAAAGGAACACTAGGTTACATAACTAGGTCCTAGGACGATATTGGCCAAAGTATATATTAATATTACTTTAAACATAATCAATTAAACGCTTAACAATATTGTAATGCCCATTGAGTTTTGAATTATTGATTTATGTACAACATAAAAAAAAAGTAAACTTGTTAAATAATTATAAATTAGTCGTTCAAAATTAATAAGTTCAATACTCGTGGTGTTTTTTTTTTTAAAAAAAAGAAATAATAATTATAAACAATACATTTTTATACTTTTAAGTCTGACTTAGGTGATAATTAAAATGGAAAAAATACCCGAATCACGGCGTACACGAGTACTAAACACATCATTAGGAATGATTGACGGCCATTGCATACATGTGGACGCCGGTGGTCATCTTCATGTGATCGTCGTTGGTCACCGGTTGGACCGACTGAATAGCTGCCTTCTTTTTCTTCTTGGTCTTCTCCTCGGACCCGTCATGCGTTTTTTCGTGATGCCGTTTATGATCCATGCGGACAAACTTTTTCTTGCACTGAACGCACTGATACGGTTTGTCGGCCGAATGACTGGACATAAAGTGTCGTTCCAAATCGTTTTTGAAATTAAAGCTCTTGGTACACATGGTACACGGGAACGCCTTGTTGCTGTCGTTGTGCCGCAGTTCGTGTACGTGCAATTGCTTTTGTTCGCCGAACCGTTTACCGCAAACGCCACATCGATACGGTTTTTCGCCACTGTGGAACCGTTGGTCGTGTTGCGTCTTGTAGCACTTGTCCGTGAAGTCTTTGTTACACAGTTCGCATGTCACTTTTGTCGCTTTTCGAAACTTTTTCATAGCCGACGCCGACGACGACGACTGCGAGCAGTCTCGGCCTACGCCATTGTTCATCTGACCGATAATGTCGGCCGAAGACGAACAAGATATGGTTGATTCTAAGTCGACGGATCCATCACTGCCCAACGTGTTGTCTTCGTCCGCCGTCGGTATGGTGGCTACGACCAACAGCCCCTTATACTGGTCAACGCTGCTCGAGTCCGGGCTAGCCAGAGGGGTGTCTACGCTGTTATTGTAGTCGCCGTGCAACGAGTCCAAGGGTTCCGTTTTGACGCCCAATAAATTATGTTGGTGGTGGAGTTGTACAGATGATATTTGCTGTTGCTGAAGATACTGCTGTTGGAGCTGGTGATGTTGTAAGTATAACTGTTGTTGATCAAACTGGCCGCCATCGTTATTGCCGGCCATAGTGGTGTACAAATCCGTGTTGGTAATTTGAGGGGTCATAGAAACCTGGGTGGTGTAAGGCTGCTGGATGGTATCCGTGATCTGGGAGCGCTGGTATGCCGAATGCACTTGCTGATCCACTGTCGATGGGTGCTCTTGGTATAACATGGTTTGGCGCTGGTGGTGGAGGTGGTGGTGCATATGCACCGTTTGGTGGTCCTGGTAGCTGTTGCTGGTGTTGTTGGGGTACGACGAAGAAATTTGGGTCACGCCCATGAAATCTGCCGTATTGCTGTTGCTGTTGGTGTTGGTGCTGCTGCTGATTGGTGGCTGCTGGGCCGGTAGGAATTGGGTTCCCCCCAAACTGTCCGAGAGGCTTGCTGTCAGGTTTGGGGGAGTCAGCTCTAAAAAAGAATCGGTACTGAATGATGAAGATGAGGTAACCGGACGGAAATCGGGCGGCATCATCATGGCCTGCTGCTTATGCGTGCTGCCTCCATTCTGCTGTTGTTGCTTGAGCTTTTGTTGAGCAACATAAGCGGGGTCCCTGTACGGATGGTAATGGTGTTTCATGGGTAACAATGCAGGGTCCGGTTTGCCACTCTGCTTGACCGCGTTCTTGTGAAGCTGAGTACCGTAGTGCCTCTTCAGGTGACCGGAGCTGGTGAACCATTTATCACAGGCCGGACACTCGTACGTTTTAGCGCGGCGAGCTTCGTTCGATTTCCACGAGCCGTTGCCTTTTCCGGAAGATCCTCCGCCGGCGCCAGCCGTTTGGTGGTTGGTATCAACCTGGTAACTGCCGCCGTCAAAGCCACCACCGTATTGTTGTTGCATGTCGGACGGTGGAGAGCCGCCCATCATTGTAGGTGGTGTCGTCGTTGTAGTGGTCACATTATTGTAATCGGGCGACAAGTGTTCACCGGACAAAGTGTTTTGTTGCGCCTGGAAGTATCCGGGCCACTCGACGGCCGACGGAGGGGGCCTGTCGTATCCGGGCGGCACACCACTGGACTGTTGAAGAAATCCTTTGTCTTGTTGTAAGAATGCTTTGGTGTCTTGTTGCATAAACGCTTTGCTGTCTTGTTGCAAAAACGTTTTGCTGTCTTGTTGTAAAAACGCCTTACTTTCTTGCTGTTGTTGTTGCTGCTGTTGCTGTTGCTGCTGAGACATGACCTGCTGGGAGTCCAAGTCTAGAATTTCCGTTTCCACTTTGGGCGACACCTGCTGTTCTTTGGCTATGCACATGCCACACACCCGCTTGCCAAAATGATGGACGCCTCCTCCGGGAAGTTCGACATAGCACCGTTCACACCGATCAATTTGTACGGGGTGCGTGACGCCTGCCGAATCGTAATAGAAGCCCAACCTGTCGGGAAACATACTGTTCTTGTAGGGAATGGTGCTGACCGGTGGAATGGCACCCGGCAACTGGAACGAATGCGGTCCCGTAGCCATCGAGTGGTACAAGGGGAACTCGGTCGCGTTACTAATCTGCATTTCCATGATTAAGAGCGCTGTAACAGAAAAACAAAAAGAAAATCGTGAAAAAAAGTAAACACCATTTCGATTATTTATTGCGGTGTAAGCGTGCTCGTACAGCGTATGATTTGTCCCGTAGGAATTGACCCTGCCGCCCCCGGCCCAGAGGTGGCGGAGTACACGTATCGCGTGGTGGTACCTCCTCGCCCAACCCTCCTCTCGGTCTCGTCCCGGCGGCGGTGACAAGTTTACACAGACCGTACAATAATAATTCAATCGCATACCGTTCGACTGATAATCGTCACCTCCCCTCGTACTTGTCTATTGTTAATTATAATTAACACATAAAGATATTAAACCGCGTTGTAGAACAAACGGATATTTCTACAGGTAATTAACGTCGGCGATATTAACTAACAATATTCCATTGGATTTTATTGCAAATGAAAAGAATTAGCGTGATTAAAAATTACACAGGACATTTTGTTAATTTTGTAGGGCGGCAAAAGTCAAAAGAAATTGGTATGTCAAGGTCGAGGTCGGGCTTGAGTAATAAAAACCTTTGAAGACAAACACGACGGCCTTTTAAGACGATAAGGTGGCGCGACGGTCGAACACGATACGAGGTGTACATTGTGACGGTTAAAAACTATTTTTCAAGTCATAAATCAAATAATGCGATATTATCTATTAATATTCAATGTTGAAATTTCAATAACAATAATTTTTAATTATATGTATTAACGTAATAATACTGGTATGTTAAAAATATAAGTTTCGAGTATTTTTAGAAAACATTGTTAAGCTACAATTTCTAGAACGATTAAAGCCGTTTTGGTATAAATATATGTTTTTTCAACACTAATAAACCTTTAAATAAAAAAAATACTACTTTGGATAGTAAATTGTTAACTTTGAACATGAAAATAATTAAATAATTAATGAAAAATGTATAATTAGACGACCATTAAATTCAATAATAATAGTAAATTAATAATAAAATAATAAAAATTTCGCTAAATGTAATAATTTATGAATACAATAATAATCGATTGTTATTCACAGCATTATAGTACGACTAGTGTAATTCATTGAATGTTGAGCCGTGATATTTAAAATAAAGATTATTAAAAAGTATAATAATAATAATCTCAAAAACAACATTTACCGTGTCCAGGGGTAGATGAGTCACAAGAGGCATATGTAAGGCGTTTATTCAGAACGAGTTAGTATCCACAGTGATTCATCACACAATAACAAAAAACCAACTTGTTCCGACGATAATAATTACCACTTTTAAAGCGAAATAATATTATAAAACTAAAATAAATTCAAATTCAACGCCATGAAAACGAAATCCGTTTAATCGATAATTACCGTATAAAGAGTTTAATAATTTTCGAACTCGTCCGCTCGCTATTAAACCAAACAGCGTACTATTCGATACATGTATTGAAAGGGAATCCGAACCGATTTACACACAATTGAATACAATAAATTTCGGCAATAATTGATTGTTATCTGTGATGGCGGTGACTCTTATCGAAGTCGGAAAATCTAACGTGTAATTTACTGGCAACTAGTGTATTTCTGTACTATTGGTTTACGGCGTTTGTGTCGGCCGACGCCATCAACAACTCATCATTAAATTCGAGAAATTTTGTACGTATATAATTGTGAAACTCATTTTCGTTGACTAAAAAAACGAAATAAAAATAATGAAAAACACTCACCTCAAGTAAAACAATGTGTACTGAAGTGATCAGCGTGGGAGCGCATGAGAATCAGCTGACCGTCGTCGTGTGTTCTGCCGGTGGTGCCGGCGATGTTTTTGCGACGGCAAAGTTGACAATGATAGTGGCCGTGTTGATGTCGGCGGCTATCATAACGCGGTCCGACCGCCGCCGGTCGACCGGCCAACACGTTTCGCGATTAACATTTGACGGTTATTTGGGCGCACTGAATTTTTCCACCGGCAATGATCGGATCGTTGTTCGGATAGAAATAATAAAAAAACGAGTTTTTGATTACAATAAACGTAGAATGAATTAAAAAATATATATTTCACTGTACGGTTGTGTGTTGTTATTCACTAGTGGTATCGGCCGGAAACAATGTGTTCGACGACGTTGGATAAACGTGTGAGCGCACCGATTGACGGGGTGCGTGTGCCTCGGGGGAAACACGAACCGAATGCCGACAGAGTGACCGAGAAGACTGAAAATTTCGAATGCCGCCGCCGGTCCGCGGGCCCGAGCGGCCGACCGACGACCACCGACGGGGGTAGCATCGGTGGGGGTAGATGGCGGGGGAGGGGACCCCGTGCCGCACGCGATGACCACTACTATATACTACAGTGTACTGGGCATATACACACATACATGCGTCAGCAACCCCTGACGGCGGCCGGACGTACTACCCAGCGGCGGCGACGGCCGATTCCCGCTGTATAAACGTTCGGCCGAAGGGTAGTTTTTGGTGGTGGACGACGGCGATACAGGAGAGGGAGGCCGCTGGAGATGGCGGTGCGTGCGTGTGTCGTTCTCAGATATTCACACACACACGTACTCGTAGCGTCCGAAAATGCGAATAGCTTCCGAGAATAATATTCATCCCCCTTCCTACCCACTCGCCCTTTCCATCAGCCGACTTTCTCCTCCGAAGTTGACCGGTGCCGTACACACCAGCTTTCCGCTTTTCCCATCTTTCTCCCGCTCGTACCAAGGTGACATCAGCCCTCCCTCCTAGCCCCCGGCGACGGTCACGACGCCTTCTCCTCTCTGTCTTACCCCGTCTTCCGCACACATATTATTAATGCGGAGGAGGGTCCAGCTGTTTGAAATATCGTTATTATTTATAATAATAATAATAATAATAATGTATGCGAGTAACAAAACTATAACGTCGCACGTGCGGACCACTAAGTCCAGCAGAGGCGCTTTTCCCATGTAAATCTCCATCTCGGTCGTTTTCGTTTACATGTATTCTGCGAAGTATCGATCGACCAGTGTACTTGTGTGTGTGTGTATATTCTCCTGAATATATATAAATGTATGTATATTCACGTACAAGGCGACGGACGGTGTCCCCACACATCTGCGAGCTGTGACGATTATAATATTTGACGGATAGTTCACTTTTTGTTTGATTAGAACTCGGCAAACAATACTGGAGTGTGGTCAACTTTTTGTAGTCTGTTCGATCGATAAAAAATAAATGTCTAATTACTATTTCTAATGCGATGTTTCTTAAATGGTTTAAATAACGTTTGCGGTAAGAAAACGAAATAACATAAATATTTACTCGCATTTTTCTGCAGGAAATATGTTAAAAAAATCAAGGTGAAAGGCGTTATAATAAAAATTTGTTTGTATAAAAGTACACGGAAAAATAATACTATTGTACAATTATACACGATCTCACCTTTAAGTTTTTAGGATCAATCAAAGTCTTTGTAAACCATAACAAATTGTAGTTATTTATCGATAAGCCTTCTGATATTGAAGCCATCCTAAATTTTCTATATAATACCTCTCTTAGATAAAAAAGAACTACTGTACTAAGTATTTAATTAGATTTTCTAATGTTAAATGATTATTTTATTTTCGGCATAAATGTCGAAGAAAATGTCTTTGTGAATTTATTGATAGATCAATTGGCAAATACATAAAAGCTCAGGAACAACTAATAAATGTTTTACTTTATTAGTGTGTCAAATAGTTTTCATTAGTTTGTAAAGTCTACAACTAATATTATCAAAAATAAGAAACAAACAATTTTGAAATTCTCAACTACTACTAGTTGTGACTTTACTACTAATAATAAAAAAAACTCTTGAGACATTGATAAAATCAAGAAACGGAATTTTGAAGTGTACAAATATATTTTAAAAATGCGATGTGTTATAATAACAGTCTTTGAACTAAAGGTAATAACTTTATTATAATTGATTTATTTAATTGTTTAGAAAAGTTATATTTTTTAAATCCTCGAATGATTTTTAATAAAAATAAATGTATTAGTTATTTTTTAACTTTAAATTAATATTTTAAATATATTTTTGATTTTAAATAAAACTTGACCTTATAAAGTTTGAGTTCAATTAAGGTTTCAAAGACGGTTTCATAATATTTTCTTTTAGGCAATCATGTATTGAAAAAAATTCAAAATTGATGAACTAATTGACTTGATATAAGAAAAATTGTTAAAAACCGAAATTATGTCAGTTCCTAGCCCTGGTGTTATTATTAATATTATTTTACATACAATAGTAATTGTATACGCTCCAATTTATACCACTAATAAGTACCATTGTACATTATATTGAACAACTTTGTTTTTTTCATGTTACAACAAATAATATTATTAAAACATTAAAGTGGCACAATTGTATCTTAAAACTCCATTTAATAACATTAATCAAATTCTTTATTATGTTCATTTCTTAATAATACAGTCCATCGTATGTTTATGACGGTATAACGTAGCCCTTTTAAAATGTCAACAATAATATATATGAGGTAATTTTAATGTTTCAGCAAAAATAATAAAACAATTTATTGTTTTGTTTTGATCATAAGTCACCATGGCAATGATCGTTTTATTCCTCATTGATGATTTCATAAATTAAAGATTGATATTATATCATTTACATATTTTAAGAACTTCCGTGTAACTTAAGTTGCCTCAATGTTAATTTTAAGGCTGGAAATTTTATTTACTCAGTGTTTTTTGTCAATTGTTTTTGCAAATAGGTTTTGAGCGTCTGGTTTTGTAAATGTTCTATCTGATTAGACTAATACATACTCATTTAAACGAAAACAAAAAATTGTAAATAACATCAACATTTTCTATATATTTTTTAGTATCGTTAGAGTTTTCTTAGTTCGTGTCTAGTGCAACAAAATAATACTATCTCAAGTATTACCAAATGTTATTTGTTAAACACAAAACGGATTTTTATTTTTTGTTGACGATGCTCTATAAAAATTGTAGCCATCGATAAATGTACTCTATAAAATATAAAATAATAATTTCTTTATCGCTCCACGGAGACGCTAACATGAGATATTGTAGTGTTTAAACTTTTCGGTCGTTCACATAATCTTTGGGATTAGCGGTCCGAAAAAGGTGATTTTTACCGACCCGGCTGGTTTTCCTTTGCTGTGTATCGCGTCACAACAGTCTACCTTGAAACAGAAGTGAATGAATTTTTGATAATTTTCAATTAAAAAAAAATGCAGCAGTTAATTGCGCCTAAATAGTCACTAAAAAATGTATAGTGATTTTTAAGTTTTGACTTCGCGAGAAATAAAAATGAGGTTATTCCCATAAGGTTTGTGTGCCGAATCAACTACTTTCAACCCTTTAGAAGAAAATGCAATAATAATGAACGTAGCAAGTACTTCAAAGAATTTCTATCGCCGGATAAAAAATTACTCCGGTGTGGCCATTCGTCAGATTTTTTTTATACAATTCAGATAAATTCAGTAAAACTACTAAATCTGTGCACCCGGCAAAAGAATTACTTTAAAAATCAACATTACTTAAATACATTCGTTGCAACTATATTATTCATCGTGTTGTACAAGTGTTACTTTTCAGTTTTGTTAATGATTCTTTCCAGTCGACAACCTTTTATTTGACCTTTAAATGAAAATACAAGGCATATACCTTGAAATGCTATCATAATAGATTCAAATTATTCAGATTTTTGTGAGTCATTTACAAAATATCCGTTCAATGTTGTTGATGTTCATTTTGATGATAAATTTAAAAAGTTGTTTAAATCTTACTCATATTTTTCAAAAGTAAAACTTTTTGAAATATACATGCTATGAATAACTTTTTATTCTTACTGTATAAAAACCAGATATATTGATTATCAGAATTTATTTATTGCTATTTAATGATTTACAATATTATCACATTGTAATCTTATATCTTTTTTTTTATCATCCAGTTAATGTAAAATTTATAAGATTTATTATTTGGTACACAAAACTTACCATTTCGCAATCTAATTTCATCGACATCGTGTAAAAAAACATAATTATTCAGGAGAGCTATTTTAAAAAAACCTAAAATACATAAAAATATATAGAAAATAGATAATTTAATTTGATTTCAAGCAGTCAAGTATTGAGTTTTAGGTATAATTATTTGCTGAGATTTACTATCCTTTTAAAGCATTCTGATAACATGAATAAATCAAATACGTTATATTTTTATAAGGTGTTCAGCAAGTAAGGAAATGGGTTTCTATTGTTCTCATTGTTTGTAACAATTGTTTCCTTAACTTACGAACACTCTGTAGAATACTTCAGTAACATTTTTTTTATCTAAGAAAAAATGATTTCCTCTCGTCCTGGTAATTAAATTGTATATGACATTATTGAAAGGAGTGAGTGGTTTAATGTTAAAAAAACATTAATTTTATAGGTTTTCATGTTTTATCCAAACAATGTTTTACCGTTCGTGTAAATTTGTTGTTTAGCATTTAGTATTTTGAGCTATTTCATAAAATGTGTGTTAGATGAAACATCAACCTCCAAATATTCTGGAAATTTCTAAATAATTTTTTTTTTAATAACCCTGATCGTATGTACATAAATGATTGTTATTTTTCTACTATCCACAGGTAGTTGTTCCATGTATATACCAAAAGGAATTCTAAAGGAATTANTAATAACCCTGATCATATGTACATAAATGATTGTTATTTTTCTACTATCCACAGGTAGTTGTTCCATGTATATACCAAAAGGAATTCTAAAGGAATTAAAAAAAATATCGAAGAAGATACATGTATCAGAAAAAAATAATCCTAGACCACTATGTGTAGTAGACACACTGTGTGAGGGTACCTACGGTGACAAGACCGGGCAAAGTCCGCGATGGACCCATGTCAAATTATAATAACGTTTTATAGACCGACAAAAAATACAATACCCACACACATCTGCATTGTGCTTATTACTGTAATGACACGTATGAATTTAGCAAAGCATAAAAATTAACGGTTCTACGAAAATGTCGGTACATTTTAAAGTTTTAGATAGGAAACATTATTTTGTTGTGTACTGTCGGTGAATGTTGTTGACATTTTTGAACTAGTTAAAAACTGGAGTTGAATACTTGTGGAAGTAGAGTTTTATGGATTTGTTTTCCTTGAATTTACTGACATATTAAAAAATTTACAAAACTTACAATACACCACATTGGGTACATCAATTCGTAAAAATTCGATCAAAACTCAGAATCTGTTAATACAAGTATATTTTTCAAATAATGTTTTGAATTAGAAACATTCATATTTAAAAAACGCCCCTCTCTATACTCAAGTACAATCCCACTGACATGGTTCAATCCTGAAAAATTCATATTTACACAGTAGTGATTTGAAGTAACTGTGAATCATTATAGCGGAGGTTAATGGAAATATTTAAGTCTGAGGTAAGAGTTAAAATTGTTAAAGTAATGCTAAAAATAATGGTATTTGATCCTTCTCAGGTCGCTCACAAATATATTTATTAATACTTTTAATAATCACTCAATCTGTTACAAAAAACATAAGTAAAATTTTTGTCAGAAATTTCGCCTAGGAAAATTTTTAGCAGCTGCTGATTGTTTCATATTTAATTTAAATTTTTTTGAGGAAGTAGAATAATGAGTTTAATTTGGTATTGTTTTGCTGTATCGTACGTATTTCCATTGTATTTCGCTTGACTCTCTACACTATTCTAGTGGCGTTATTTTGGGGGTGAAACAACTTGGGTATTTCACTTAGTCTAAATTTTCAATAAATCAAGGCCGGTCGTACTATACTCATATCGGGTCGAAACATATCGGATCATTTAAATCCAATCTATGAAATACAATAAAAACCAAATTTTAGTCGTGAAAATAAAATTTCATTTTATGAAAAAATTATATTTTCTTCGATAGATTTTGATAAATTGCGCACTTATGAAATCACAATGTGTAATAGTAATCATAGATGTTTCAATTTTTTGGGTTATCACTTGATCTTAAACAAAACCATTTTATATGTACAATAACTTTACTGCGAAGTGTTATTTTTTATTAATTGATAACATAATTAATTAGAAGCCTATAAACTGGCAAACATGTTGAAAATATTAATTTTATATGTTAAAACTGTAAAAAAAAAAAAAATGAAAAATCTTAAAGCCATTTATTGAGCATTCTTTTATTTTTTATTTAAAATAAGTTTAATGGTTTAATTATGGGAGATTAGTCGTGAACGGCCTTATGAACTGATGGACCAAATAGGTCAAAAGATTGTCCTAGTCCAAGTACAATCTAAAATGACGCCCTGCGTTATTCATTTCTATACATGTGTTGCTTTGCAATATACGGTCGGAGTAAATTTAATTTACTAATTGATTATCTACGCGATCCTTTCATGCGTATTTCTTTTATCTGTCCAAAAATAAAACATTACAAAATACGCACTTGGACATCGCAGGATTTCTATAATGTATTGGAATTTATGGCGTTAGAACATGACGCACAGCTGGAAGACCACCTACTGATAATTATATTAGCCTTATATATATATATATATTATAATGTGCAGGGTCCGGAAGGAAGTCAATACGTTTTCAGGCACTCGATTTTCATACAGACACATCCGTCGCGGTTTTTAACAAATTTGACAATACTCTAGACCTCATAGACCTCATGGAGATCCTATTTTCTTACTTCCAAGAACTAAAATGATTCATTTGGTCTTGTTGAAAAAGACGACAATAGTCATTTTGAAATTAGTTTGCAAGAAAACACATGAGCTATTAATTAAATTAAACGTGTAAAATGTTGGATTATGTAACTGCGTTTATTTTGCAAATTTACTTGAGCTCCGCTCTAAGGGAGTGGTGTAAGTTTATAAACTTTTACGTTTTTTTTAATTTGCACCACATTAAGTATGTTGAAGTATAAATTATGAATTCCTCGAATCAACTCAATAATGAGAATATTTAAAAATAGTAAATAAATAAACTTGAGTATGTCCAGAAAAAAAATATAAAAGCACGACAAAATCAAGAGGTTAGTTTACACAGATGATAATGAGTTGTGTAGGAACAAAAATTTTGTTTATTATTTATTCTTTTAAAATTAATAATTAATATTTATCGTATATAAATTTATCAGACGTTTTTGTAAGACTGAAAGTGTTTGAGGTTTGTCAACGTTTATAGTTTTTTGAAGCGGTCGACTGTAAATTAATTTTAAAGTTTTTAATTATATTTTTTATTAGTTATTTATATTTCATGTGACAGTGCGTTTTTGAATTTATTGTTTCGTGTTGTATCATAATATAAAAGTATACTTGAAGAACTACTTGGAAAATGTTCGAATGAAAACTTCTAAGTACGAGACATTTTTCCACTCTCTTGTACAAGTTGTATTACTATAACAATATTTTACAAATAAACATTTTTTTTTTCTAAAAATATATTGTTAATTAGTCTTAAATATAAATTCAAAATCACACCGAGATTACTCATTTTTATTCATAAAAAAAAGAAGGATCACCTATATTTTAAAACTTTTTAATAAAACAAACACACGAATAAAACCGTATAAGAATACAATTACACGGACTTGTATTACAATGTAACTCAGTAGGGTTGTAAACGGCATGTACAACAATAATTATTGTATAATTTAAAATTGAAGTCGTTGACGTCAGTGGCGTATTTACGGGGGTGCTTGGGGTCCGGATGTCACCACAGACATAATAAAATCATGGTAACCGGATGTAGTGCGCGGTTGAATATCCCCACTGCTCAACAAGTTATAAAAGCTCACTGGATCACCACAGAAATTGTCTAAATACTCTACTGGCGGTATAACAAAGTTGAAGCGAACCCACTACAGAGATCTTACCAAAAAATGTGAAAAACAAAAAATTAATGTAATTATCGACGGACTCGATGAATTTTATGGTCAATATTTTGCTTGGCCAAAACTGATAAGAAAAATTAGCAATTCAAGCGTAAAGTACTCATTGGGCAATATGATATATTTTTATTGGCAATAAACTAAGCCGAGCATTATCGCGGACATAAAGGTTTCCAAACTGTATTCACCTGTTCATGTTTATATTAATAGTGAGACAAATGTTTATCTTTGATATTATAATGAACGAAGGCTGTACGGAAAAACGATATTGCGTTTACGTACAAGTAAGAGGATATTACGTTGTAATTAATGACCCGGAAAAACTTTTGTGCAAACTTTTCCACTTGTCTGCCGTAGGCCACTTAATCATTTGTGTTCCTTACCTCTGCCACAAGTTCGAGTGTTTCATAGAAATTTGATTGCACGTCCAATAGAACCGAATATTTTGTGACGTTCCAGTTGATCATCTCTCCGGGTCGCATTAATACATTGTTGACCGCTGCTGTACAATGCGACCTTGATTTTTCCTCTCGTAATGCGACTCCGCCGGGCCCCCCAAACGTTTTCATCCCTTGCCGACCATAAAGGCGACTGCGGTTTTTCCCAACTTACGGCAGCAGTGTGTTGGAACACGCACAATGATAACACTCAATGGGACTTAATCGTGAATCGCAGTCCATCCGTCAAACGGGCGTAACAGTTCTTCGCGCACACCTACCACAACAAGGCTGGGGATTTATGATTTTTCCAAATGTAGCGGTTTAAAGTCTATTGAACTCGAAAGCGAATTTCGTTGTTATTTCGCTGGAGTATTTATAATGACGTATTTGTGTGTGTTGGATAAATTAACGGTCCGGCGGCATATTTAATTACTTATAACTATCGGTTGCGATTCTCCTATTAAATTGCACGCTACTTACAGTTTAACATTAAAATACCCACAGCTGTTTATCCTGACTCGAAGTGGTCGAGTGTTGTTTGACAAATTGGGGGGTGTTTACTGCAGACATTGTAATGGAATCGAGGGGGCGTGCACATATCATACGTTTGTGTATACAAAATGTCCCGGGCACGTTTGACAAGTTTATTTAACAATAAGGAACGGAAAAAGAATAAAAGTTTCATCTTTCTACGATTGAGTACAAAATAGTTAATCCCGTTGGTTTGGCAACTTTTAGACTGCTGTTTTAAAAGTCACGGGCAATAAATTAACAATTGGAAGTGATAAATAATTATTTTTTATTAGTTTACATAATTACATTTAATCGAGTAGATAAAACTACGTTGTTTAATTAAAAATACACGTTTTTTTTTCAATAATGTCGGTTTAAATAAACATCTTGTTGATTTTGATAATCTGTTAGATTACTATAGCAATAATTTTATCAGGGTTGGCATTTAATTTTTTTTTTTTTTGGATAAATAAAAATATAAACAAATCACTATACGTACAATCAGATACGGTATCTAATTTTTATATTTCATGAAAGATACGACTCTGATACCACTAATTTTCCTTACAAAAATTATTACTAGTTATTTAAATCGATCAGTTTATTTTTAAATATTCAGAAAATAATTTTTATTCTTATGTTCTGAATTTTGAAAAAATTATTTCCCACTATTTTTATTCTTAAATAATGTCGATTGTACCAATTGAATTTACTATGATACTTTAATGAGAAAATATCGTCAAAATAATATGCAAATAGTTAAAATAATGATTTTAAGTTGAATCTTTTTTTATTAGGTAAGTATATAAGTATTATGAGTCGACCACTTAATGTACGTTAAATTTTATGTTCTTCCGCAATAAAATTGTTTTTTTTTTAGTGGTATTGAAATTAAGTAATTTCAAACATAAAAAACGTGACTAGTAATGAAAATATTTAGTCATTAAATTTTACAGAAAATTAGGCATTTACTTAAGTGAGCTCTCCTTCAAAAATTACTTAAATTTATAATTTAAAATTTAACAAATAGCTCATAATTAACAAGTATTTTATTTAATACGTTGAGTGAGTTTGTGGCGTGGGTGTGTACAAGTAGTACTGGTGTATATTTATAATGCATAATTCATGGAATATGCATAGGTATGTATTAAAATGCTTATAACTCAATAAGTACTCATTCTAAAATTGTTATTGAGCCATTAATATTTTTTGTAAGAAAAATCTTTGAAAAACGTCTATTTTGAAAAAAAAAAAAAGTTATACATTTTTTTATTTATTTTTGTTATTAAAAACAAATTATAAAAAATATTATTTTTACATAGTATAAGAATTCTCATTAATTATGAAAAAAAAGGGACGAAAAATATGTGTAAATTCAGAGTCGACCTGGCCCACTCGCTATTCAGTAATCGCCGGCTGTCCTTGAATATTTTTAAATATTAATTAATAATTCTCAAGTTCCTTCGCACCTCCTAATGTGGAGTAGTAGTGATGCTCCCACTGTTCTGATATTTGAAGATTGTCAAAAAACCCTTCCTCTCTTCATGATGAATTCTTGAATACTATTTTAGAAAATTATATGCTAGTGACCCAAACATGAGCCAAGTCGAGACACTGTATATTATTACATGTGCTACATATATATGCATAGAAAACAAAAACAGCTTTACTGATTACGAAGATTAGCAATTCATTTTTGACATTTAAGGCATCATCGTATATTGAAGGTAAAATGTAATTGGGCTTTACAAATTATTAACGTGCAATAATATCGTACATTTGATATTTAAGCTCTACAGCAATACTTTTCATATCTGACTTTGAAAACAACTATTTATTTATTTATGGCTGGTGACAATTGGTACGTCGACGTACGTAAATTCTCGTGAAAATTTTGTCGGACGATTCATGGCCGCTTTGTTTTGAAATCTAAAAGGGTTACCCATACTTCGTAAAATACGTGTGTTAAAGAAGCTTTTGGTTTTGTACGTGTTGTATTTGGCAACAATATGTTCGATCATCAGGACGACCACTGAGAGCATAACAGCAATGAAGAAACCAAAAAGTAACCCTTCCACGTGGCTCAAGGTTACTGAAATGTCTTGAGGCGTGAAAAATGTTTCAGGGAACTCCTTAGGTACCCATTTATTTTGAAGGTAGTTCAGTACACCAGAGGTCAACAGTCTTAAAAGTCTGTAAAAAAAAAAAAAAATTAAAGGCTTAAGAATTTTGACGAATCAGTCTGATTTTGAAGGGGTTACGCACGATTCTATCTAGTGGTTAAAATACGATAAAAATGTTAACTTTAAGTTTTGACCAACGGATCGCGCTACTGGTTGACATCGAAGTCTAATAAATATTTGATCAATAATTTATTGTAAAAAAAAAAAATAAATCATTTTAAAGCTAAAATAAAAATGTTTTTTTTTATAAACTTTTGGAAAAGTCTCCAGAGAGACCACATGGACTCTAATGAATTAGCAACTTTACTAAAAAATCAAATGTGCGTTAAGCCATCATTATATTTTAATTACATTTCGTTTATTTGAGATAAATAGCGGAATTTTTTTTTCGTGAGAAGTGAAACTTGAGTTATTGACATCTTGCCGGCAAGGGAAACTACTCTACAACCTCCTTGTTCGAACATAGATTGAGCCATTATGTTGGGAGTCTCCAGTACCAATACGTTATCCTTGCAAACCATCTTGGCCATTTTACTGGCGTTCTCATCTTGAGCATAGCACGGCGGTTTATTCACCACTTTTCTCCACTTTTCCGTAATAAACTCATCGTCTTCATTTACCTTAGAACACGGACAAAAACGTAGCCCATCAATTTAATTAATAATAGATATTAACAATTATCATGTAATTAATAATTACACAATAAAAATGTATCATAATGTTACATACTTTAAAACCAACAAAGGCAAAACTATGCCGACGGACACACAAAGACAGTGTGGTCGAGTACGCTGCGGCTTCCAATGATGGCACTGCTTTTTCATTTTTCCCTACGGCTAACCGAGAGAACAGTACGGCCGAGTACGCCGTACTCATACACAGTCCAAACCCTAAAGTCACCCACGCTAAAGTCCTTACGGAACAGGCTGTGTTAAAAGCTTGCATTCCTGCAATAGATGCCGATTTATGGTACACGCGAGTACTGTTTTTTTATATGCAGAGTGTTCAGTAAGGAATCAGGTTAATTGTTACAAACGACCGGAACAATAGAAACCCGTAACCTTATCTACTGAACACCCTATANACAGTGTTCAGTAAGGAATCAGGTTAATTGTTACAAACGACCGGAACAATAGAAACCCGTAACCTTATCTACTGAACACCCTATATCATTTTATAATTATATGCAAGTTTTAATTATAATTATAAACATAGGCGAAACTTCGGGTCTGGGCTAACTAGGCCTCTGCCTGACCTAATAGTTTGGGGAATGAGCGTATAACTGGATCAGACGGAATTCCAGTTGTAATGTCACAAAATCGTTAATAATTAGTTATTAGAGTCGTTAGATTATTTAATAACAGTTATTAAATAATTCAATTATAGTTATTATAATGCAAGTATTTTATATGAGCTACAATATATACATAAGGTGAAAAATTCTATTTTACATAAGGTTTTGGATGGGAGTGGCTAACTAAATTTATTTTCCTGATATTCCTTCCCTGCTAGGGTACTGAGCTCTACTAATTTTCACCAGATTATCACTAAAAAAAAATCAAAATTCAAAAAATTTTTATCCTCGGCTAATGTAAAAGTCTANTAAGTATTTTATATGAGCTACAATATATACATAAGGTGAAAAATTCTATTTTACATAAGGTTTTGGATGAGAGTGGCTAACTAAATTTATTTTCCTGATATTCCTTCCCTGCTAGGGGGTACTAAGCTCTACTAATTTTCACCAGATTATCACTAAAAAAAAATCAAAATTCAAAAAATTTTTATCCTCGGCTAATGTAAAAGTCTAGTTTCATTTATATGGTTATAAATTAAATATAAATTTAAACTATGCTGTAGTAGTAAACTTGAGAAATACATTTTTCCTGTATACTACTCGCATTTTATTAAAGATCAGTAACGGGTTGGAGAATAAGGGCCCACCGACATTTTTTACTTAACAAAAGTGATTTTGACAATTTATAAATAAACTATACTAATTGTTTCGGACTGTTTTACATATTACATGAGCCATAGAATTCACGACTCGCGTAATAATATCGGCCTTAATCTATTTAAGTCTGATATTAAACTGTTATTAGTTATTTAATATAATATTAATTCATTCTATGATAGGTATACCGATCATATAATGTAGTCCCAAATATTTACGATGGACCTATCGAGATTTTCTTGGTGCTCACCTAGTCTATTCGGACCTGTTAGAGATTTAAGGGCTTATTGTACAAAGTTCATACATAATTTATATAATTTATTCCTTATATAATTTTGTACAATAATCGAATTTAACCTAAATGTTTTTACATTATAACTTCTGTTTAGTATACAAGTATAATTTTTTCCACAAGATTCGACGATTTTATAATAAAATTTATGTTTTGAGAAATTATAATAAAATAGTGTGATCGTAACAATTGAGGTAGCTTACCTTGGCTACAAATCGAACCCCATACGATGAATACGCACGATATGATATTGGGAATTTCAGAGTCATGTCGTGAAGTACTTGTATAGGACCTTAAAAAGAAACGTAAAAAATGATAATAATAATATACTGTACGATTTTCCGTACGGGAGTTTAAAAAGAGGGATGGTAACGGTTAAGTAAAGGTGGTGGTATGAGGCCAAGAGGAGAATTGCCAAAACGAAACGGTTAGTTCCTAAGATCCTGGTACAAAGCTCAACTACTCACTGGAGGGGTGAAAAGCTCTCAGTTACACACACAAACATACACACCTACGCACACACGTATATTCATATGTTATTGATTTTATGCCCCTTTTTATATTTACAAAGACCCTTTATTGTAAATTTGTCCAAAAAAGGTATTTTATTACAGTTTACAATTAATTTAAGAATAAATTTAATTTAAGATTAAATAAAAAATGTTATTTAAATAATAAAGTAGATATTAAATACAATTTAAAAATATTTATTAATATTTAAATTTAAATAAAAGTGCTAAAACGATTTTAGCACTTTTTAGTCAGGACATTTGTATTTCATAACGTTTAAGAAATAAATTTAATATTGAATAATATTGCACTGACAATTAAAATTTGTTTTTTATTAAAGCTAAGACATTTAAAAAAAAATATTGAAACATTTTTTAGGAAAAATAGAAATAATTTTAGGGAGGGCATCTAAAATATTTTTCAATACTGAAGTTGTCATTTGATTAGTTTTTAATAATTTTTCTTTTTTAAAAACTATGTTATTTTATATTATGTTGTATTCAGTGTCATAAATTAGAAATTCATAATAGGGTAGGGTAGTGCATGAATAAAATTGTTCAATTGACAAGTTACCATGAATTTTTTTATCCATTTTAAACTTGTTACAAGAAAAAAAAATATTTTTATATCAGCATAGGATTCGTCAGTGGGGCACGGTCCTTTATCCTTACCTAAAAAAGCGTCACTGATGGGAACATGTTTTTAAATAGAAAGTTTGAAATTCACGATGATATATCTTATGCACGTAATGTGTATGAAATAATCATTTCTCATTAAAGTGACATAAATAGGTTAATATTAACATTTCGACTAAATTTGTTGGTTTATCTTTATTCGGAATGTATAATTAGATTTTTTATATTCAGCGACGAACATGGTCGTGCTTTGTCTTTACAGCAGAATTTTTTTACATATATTTTAAGTCACATAAATTTTAATAAACAATACGAATATTGTTGACGTTTTGGTGACGAGATGAGACGTCATACTGATAAACTAGTATAAATCATATTTTAATAATTTTTTTTCTAGTATATAAAATCTGAGAAACTTTTTATGATTTTATATTGAAGTTTTTCTTAAAAGACGTTTAACAAAGATTCTAGATAATTTATGTAAAGGTGTGATACAATTTTTTCAATATAGACTTAAAATTCCTTTAAACGATAAATTAATTTATTATGACTAAACCAATTGCTTAGTTTTAATAACTTCCACAATAATTCGAAATAATAAAACAGTCGATATTATTGAAGTTCAAAAATTAGTCAGAGAAAAAACACGTTTTATTCTAAAGCGTCTTTAAAAACATATTAGTGAACAAGTTTTTACACGTATTTTTTTATTATGCTTAACCGAATCTGTAACAATTAAACATTCGCGGTAAATTTAATGGACACATAGGTGTATAAAAAACGAAACGTTAACTAAGACTTTTCTATTCAAAATATTAAGACGTCAGTGTCAGTTATTCAATAACTTTGGTTGAAGGTTTGATCAATACCTTAATTAGACTGTAGTTTGGTTGCTACTAAAAACTTGTATTTTACGTTTTTTTTTATTGAAAAAAGAAAACAATTATTATTAATTCAAGTACACGATTGCAAATGTATTTTAATATAGACACCAATTGTAATTGTATCGATAGAGTTTAGCTTGCAAAATATCTAATGGTTTTTTATTCATGCAAATTGAAAGATAAGCAAAATTTCTTAAATTATTTTAAGATTTAAAACATTCTTCATAGTTTCACAAATGTAACAACACTATACATTGCCTTGTACCTGGCAAAGGTACAAGTAATAGAAGGATCATTTTTTTATTGTGCTGGTTTTGACAGTCTTAAATGTTTACCTAAACAAGTACATTTATTGCATGATTTTTATTTTTTATTTTGGTGGGAGAAAATATATACTGGTATATATTATGGTACCTACTTAAAATGACAATTTTGTCAATTTAGGTGAAAATATTAATGTTATTATACAACATACTAAAACATATTTCAAATACATGACTATTTGATGACTAATACATCGACATAGTTGTGAAACATACAAAATCTAAATTGTGTATTTGAACGACACTGTCACTACTTTTACCTGACTTTCATCACCAGCCATCCACATGCGGCTATAAGTAGCGTAGTCAACGCAAATGCTAACCAGACTCCCGGGCTCCAAGTAACCAGATAAGACATGGACGTAGCCCTGTTAACTGTATGTTTTGAGTAAAGTTCATACCTAAGTGTTGGTTATGAGTTCAGTTCTATTAATCGTTAGATATCAATAAAAAATGATCAAACCAGCTCTTGAAAAACGGAATAGTAAAGTCGAACTCGTCCACATCTGTTGCTGTGATAACCATTGGTATCAGCATTATATCAGCTTCGCCAGAATGAATTAAAGCCCTGCCTTCGGGAAATTGTGCTATTGTGTAGTTGGACCTGTATAAATAATATTTTACTTAAACGTATTAACACGAAACACAAAAGTTCTTGAATTTTTATCATTCTTTATGCAGTTAGCACACAATGCGTTTCTTCATTAGATAACAAGGCACATATTTTGTATTAGTTATTACACAAAAAATAAAATTTAAATAATTTTAACAAATAGAATTTACACGTTTTGAGTATTTATTAATAGATAATACCACACTGCTATTAAAATACATAAAAAAAAAAAACTAGTTGTACTAAAATAAAAGTAGATGGTCACCAGTAAAAGTACAAGGCACCGGACAATCAAAAATATTTCAAACGTGTTTTAAAATTAAGATGGTCTCATTCGTATCAATGTGAACGGCGTGCTTTATCTTAAGTCAAGTTATGAGTATCAAGTAAAAGAATTTTACTGCAAGTTGCCGCCTTTTTTTTGCATCGCCTTATTAACCATTTCCGTTCTTAAACAAAACACTCCTAAAATGTCCAACACCTTGTTTGACAATTTAAAATTCGAAAACACACGCGTGCATANCGCGTTTTGAGTATTTATTAATAGATAATTAAAAAAGTAAATTGATAATACTACACTGCTATTAAAATAGATACAAAAAAAAAACTAGTTGTACTAAAATAAAAGTAGATGGCCACCAGTAAAAGTACAAGGCACCGGACAATTAAAAATATTTCAAACGTGTTTTAAAATTAAGATGATTTCTTCATTCGTATCAATGTGAACGGCGTGCTTTATCTTAAGTCAAGTTATGAGTATCAAGTAAAATAATTTTACTGCAAGTTGCCGCCTTTTTTCTGTATCGCCTTATTAATCATTTCCGTTCTTAAACAAAACACTCCTAAAATGTCCAACACCTTGTTTGACAATTTAAAATTCGAAAACACACGCGTGCATAATCTTCTAAATAGATATAGTTAATTATCGCGACAACACAAATTACCTACTATATGTGTGCCTTTGTTTTGGTTTTAAGTTTTCAATGACACGTCTATTGTTCTCAAACGGGTATAGAGTGCGAAAATATATACACATAAGCCGATCAAATATCATCATCGTACAGTCGTCGCATTTGTCTCGGGCAGTTCGGTGGCGTTTTCGTAGCGACGCCCTAATTATTTAAATTTAATTAATAGAAGTTTTATTTTTACTTTTCACCGTCAACGCATTTAACGCGTGAGACTCTTAGAATAGAATTTGTTCGCGAATTTTGTACGAAGGACATCATGAAGTCTATGTGGTTTTTGATTTTATTCATCTTATACGTCACAAGGAAACGGACTTCAGGAGTAAGTATCATTTTCAAAATACCAGTAGTTATTGGTACTTTATGATTTGTAATAGCTAATTATAATATAGAGTATCTTTCCTTCAACAGATGACTCATCGGCAACTCCCATGATAACACACGAAGAAGTTCATGAGGTATTTTAATAAACTTAAAGTTACTAATTTGTATAGTGTTTTACCTAGGTAAATGAATTAAAATCTTTAAGGTCAAATGGCCGATTCACGATGAAGTAGTTCTACCAGCAAAATCAAAAGATGAGAAAAAAAACGTTTGTTTTGAAGTGCACGAGAATACTGTAGCAGAAAATGAGAAGCATGAAGAAACATTGAATCATAAAGAAAAATTAATTCAGCTGTCAGAGGAATCTAAATCGCAAGAAAAACATTGGCATCAAAATCAAACAGAAATTTTATTAAAAAATATGACCTCTGAACATCAACGACCACTACCACAACCTCCACTTCCTTTATTATTAGCAACGGTTTATGATAAAAATATATCCAATACACCAGTTACGGTAATTACTAATACTAGTACAGATATCAATAATTTATCAATATAAATACATTTGTAATAATGTGTCATTTTTTATTTATTAATAAATAATTTAACTTTGCTATTTTATGTTATAAGTACTTGAATGATAACTGATTTTCAATAATATTCCAAATTTCTCCCACAAATCCAGATATGTTCTTAATAGCATTATTACTGTCTGTGGATAGATGCAAATATGGTGACACCTAACACAAATTATAAAACAAAATAATGGGTAACATTAAAATAATATATATATTTTACAAATTTATTACAACAAATAGATGTTTAAAATTACTTTAAAGTATTCATACATAAAATACGTTTAACTTATTTAAAAAATAACCATTCTAATATTTATATAATAATGTAAAAATAGTTACATTCTTGTTCACTTACTTCTTCAACTATAACATTTATATTTTCTGGCATTATGAAGAATACTAATACTGATTAATTTTATTAGTATACTACAAAAAGTAATGTAGAAAATGTATGATTATTGAAAAACCTTCAAAATAATTTTGACAGTTATGATGTTATACTTAGATAAATCGTTTGATAACATTTTTATTTACTTTAGGTCATTAAAAATCGAATTGTTAAATTGTATTTTGCAACACCATATAAAATAATCTTACATCAATATTTAAAAAATATTTACATATACATTAAAAGAAAATGCCTATATAATAAATATAAAACAAAAATATTAAAAAAAAAAACTAAATTATACAGGTTCTTTTTTTAATTCTTGTTTGTAAAAAAATAAGACACAATCATCATATTGAAAAATATTCTTATAAATTATTAGTTGTGATATGTTTAGTAATAGGATATTATAATTTTATTATAAAATATTATCCAGCTAATTGTTTTGACATACTCAAGTATGCTAATAGACCTTGTACATCCTGGTTTTGTTTATATAATTTCTCGGCTTTGATAATAACTTCATTACGTGGAGAAATGTTTAAAACTAAAAAAAATATACATAACTATAAAATAATCAATGAAAATGAATGTTAATATACAGGGTGTAAGAAAACAGGTAAATTCTTACAAGCAAAGATAACAATAGAAACCCATTTGCTTACTTTCTGAACACTATATATGAGGCATCCTGAATTTTATCTATAATTATTGCAACTTGTGCATAAAATGAAAAATCAAATTTCCTGCCTCTGGAGTTTTTCAAATACCGGATTTCATTTTATTTGAGACCTTTATTTTTTTAAATCACATAACAATTTTTATAATGGAATCATTTATATTTAAAATTCACCCTTGTTTATTTGAACACCTTGAGTATGAGCCTGATTTACATTGTGAATTTATAATATATTGTTATAAAATAATAATAGGGTAAAAAACATTAACTACGAAAAATAATACTGTCAAAATATATTTAAATAAAAATTCACTAAGTATAAAAATTATTGTAAAAAATAATTTACACAATTTTGTGCTCTAATAAAATTGTAATTATATTTTTTCTTAATAAAAAAGTAAAAACTACCATATGTGGTCCAATTATTTTTTTTTTTTTATTCTTTTAGGTTTAAAATTTAATTTTTTCAAATGGGAAATCCTATTTTTAACTTAATAATATGATTGATCGTTCATAGTATGTAGCTCAGGTGGTTATAGCATATATTAGTGTATGTGCTTTGTATATGTATTAATTTTAATGTATATAAAATGTATTATACTCATAATATATTATTGAATATTATTTATAAAATATAAAAGTATATTGTAAATTTTGTAGCGCAAGTTTTTATATTAAAAGAGATAAAAGAAAGGAATTTATGTGTTTTAATCAAATTATGTTATGAATAAAAACATTTACTATAGTAGAATTATCAAACAAATGCAATGCTAAATGAAGTAGATTAAATTAAAAAAAAAAATTATGCAAAACAAATCCAACATTACTTTTCTTACTTACAATGATATGTATTATTGTCTTCTTCAAAAATGGCAGTATAAACATTGTGATTGTGCATATTTTTTACATAAATTTCAATTGAATTAAATTTTTCTTTATAACTTATTTTCATGTCTAATTGTGTAAATCTTTCATAGATCGTAACACCAGTATTAAAAGACTTTATTTCTTTCTTAAGATTTTTGATTATTTCTTTTTTATCTAAAATTTAAATATAATATTCATATGAAAAAAAAAATTATTATTTTTGATACAACTAATATTAAAACTAAAAGCAAATTTAAAATAATTATAAAAAATTTTGTCTACATTGCTTTTTAGAGTTTTAAATAAATAAATGTGTAAAAAAAATTTTACCTGCAAAGATTTATACATTTATTATAAATATGATAAAAACTGGTCGATAACAACTTTTGAAACAGTAGTTCAAAAGTAATTAACAATTTAGAATAATAATTGGAGGTGAAGAATGGATACTGATATTTTTATAACTAGATAATTCCTCATTGTACTCTTCTTCTTACACAGATGTAAATACATTAATAACTTCTGAACTATTGGTCTAAAGTTATTATCGACTATCTATTTTCTTAATTAAATCATTATCTCATAATTAAGCTGGTTAATTATGTATGTTGTTATTTGAAATATTAAAATTGACATCTTTATAATGTATAAGGGATTAACTTAAGTTTTTTTTTGTTTGATACATTGAGAAAAACATTGAACTAAAAGAAACCAATATCAAAAATATTAATATAATTTTTCTTTTTCGATTAATTAAGTGGTTCTTCATAAGTGTACTTTTATTTTATAATTTATTTCAGTATTTTTTTTTGTTATAATCATAACACAATCATATAAAAATTTTATTAAATTATTATTGTATAAGTACCTTTTGATATTAAATTTAATTCTTCTTTTCTCTGCGCTATCAAATTTAATAATTCTTTTTTTTCAATTTCTAAATGTTTACACTCTTCAACAACAGCTTCAAAATGCTCATTTTCTGTTTGTAGGGACTGTTGACTCGATTCTACTTTCTCCATTATTGATTTCAGTTTTTCACGTTTTAATTGTACATTATTTTTTATTTCTTGTACCATTTCTAAAATATTAATATTCAATCAATTTTAATTTAATTAAATAAGTAATTAAATTTATTATATTTACTAGATAGTTTCAAATATTCATTCATTTTTTGATCATACAATTTAAACATTTTTGTACCAAGACTTTTTATTTCACTTTCTATAGTTGCACAATTATTACTCATAATTAAATTATTATCCAGAGTCATATTATCAATTTCTATGTTAAAATATTTTGTCATTTTAGAATAGTTATCTAAAATAAATAAATTTAAAAAAAAAAGGTAAATAATTAAGGATTCTTTATATAAGACTAAGTTAATGAAAACTAAGGTTTAAACATAATAATCAGAAATTATTAATTTATAAACTATTGTATGAAAATTAAAGTTATTTACATTTAACTTATTAACTACATCATGTTATTCATCAGCAGATATAGTTAAAATAAATAAAATTTTAAACCAGAGTAGGTTTATTAAGCTATAAAAATTTCCACAAGTGTTAAGAAAAATTAATTTATAATTAAATAATAGTATAATTTTTTATTTTACTTCATCTCTGTTGGAAATTTTTGTTTTTTGATATCTATAGAAAAAAACTTTTATTTTATTTTTAATGGAACTTAATTTAATTAAGATAAATTCATCTAAAAAAATAATCTTACAAAATTATTGTTATTAGGAATGTTAATCCAGTACTCACAAATTATCAGGCTCGATCCGAATTAAAATAATTATAAAGGGTAAAATATAATTCTATGTCACTGAAAACTTATAAAAGAAAATGAAATCATAACAATTATCAATAATTCAAACGAATTGTTTACTGTGACAAAGGTGTTGATACCAGATAAATGTATATATATGATAACGGTCTTTTTGAAAATTGAATTCATCTAAATACTACGCAATACGCATGCGCGCTCTGGTTGATATACCATGTCATTCATGAGTTTTAATAAAAAAAATAGTTAAAATTTATAAACCAACTTACCTATTAAAGTAAATTATCAATATATAAAAATATGATGAATAATGCAACATGTTTAAATTTGGATACATTTTATTCAACACTATTGATGAATCGTTTCATTAGTATCCTTCAAGTATTACTACTATGTATACTTTAACGCTATCTATGTGGTATAATTTTAATTTTTCTTAACGTACAAATTAAACTAATTTTATAAAACAAAAAATACCTATTATATCATTAAGTAACAATTAATTTAGACATTTATAAACTTTAAAGTTTATTAAAAAAATAAAAACAATAGTAACTGAATATTCGATTCATTATTTGATAATAGAACTACTAGAAGCTAAAGTATTGAATCATGTCCTCCTCTTCTTGTTTTCTCATATTTAACTAATTAGGCTATTTTATATTAAGTCATAAATAACAGATATGACGGAAATAGTCGTTTTTTTTTAAATGTACACATTTTTTAGTTAAAACATGCCAAAAAAATGTCTTGTGTCTGGGTACAGGGCTACATAATGACACGAGACTTACGAAAATAAAAAAACCAATCCTTTATTTCATCTACCCGAAGTATGATAATTTAACATTTATGCAAATCTCTTAAGTAATTATTTTTTAAGTTTAGTAATAAAATTATTTAAAGAGCTCAGTAAAATAGCAGAGATAATGTGTCAAGGATTACAGGTAAAGGCGTAAAGCATTTGAGTAAATATATTTCAATAAAAGTATTCAAATACTTTCATTGGTATTGAATAGTATTTGACACGGCCCGCGTCGCTTCGTTATACACGATGCCCCGCGACTCGTGCCACCTTTATCAGCCGTCGCCCTACTATGAGTATTTGACTGACCAACACCGCGTGTTATACGCTACGGTGCAAAGTCCAGCAAATGCCGCACGGCCGACGACGACCCGCCGCAAATGGTGCGAGAGTCTTCCTCCCGCTGTGAAAGCGACAACGTCGACAGCCGAACCGCACCCGCGCACCGTCGCCTACAACGCTGCTAACCATTTTGCCGTCCAAGGATTACGCCGAACATCGCGTCGTCGACGCCAGCGAAAGTGCCGCGATATTATGCGAAGATTATTATTACTGTGTTTATCTTTTCGGTTTGTTTTATTTTTGTTAACATAATCTGTTGTCGCTCATTTAATAAACGGCCCACGGGTCTCTACCCTCAAAACCAGTGTCGACCACATTTTTGCGACGCAAGTCGTGTCA